CTTCTTCTTTCAATGGCATCAAGGTGTTATAATAAACTTGCCATAAATTACTTTCCATTAGTATTGTGCTCTAGTTGATTTTGGGTGCCATCATATCATTATGCAACTTGTCTCTGTTATTTTCTTCCTAACAGATTATTTGTGATTATTGCAGCTTCTGTGCTTTCTGGTTAGGAATTGATCAAAATGCCAGGCGCCGTATGTCCAGGGAGAAAACAGACATGATTCTGAAAGTAGTTGTAAAACACTTTTTTATAGAGAAGGAAGTAACATCTACTTTGGTGATGGATTCCCTTTATAGTGGGTTGAAAGCCCTTGAAGGGCAGAGTAAGTGCAAAAAAGGCAAGTCAAAATCATTGGAAACAGAAGAAATGCCGGCTCCCATTGTTCATGTGGAGAAAGATATGTTTGTCCTGGTGGATGATGTGCTAGTTCTTCTAGAGAGGGCTGCCTTGGAACCATTGCCTCCAAAAGAGGAGAAGGGTCCTCAGAACCGTACAAAGGTAAGTTTCCAAGTCTTCAAGATTGTGTTCAAAAGAGTGAAAATATTGAAGAGGTTCAGATGTCAATGCTGTGGAGCCATATACAGCTCAATATGTATTGTTTCTCTTTTAAAGTTTATAGAATCATGGTAACCTATTTTAATGGAACCTTTGATTTCTCATTCCCTGGTTACTTTTGGCATTTGTTGGCTATTCAACAGCGGCCAGTGCTGTTCCTAGTATACACTAAGATAGTTCCTGAAGCTGTGATTCCCCTAACTCCAACATTGAAAATGGGAAGAAATCAAAACTTGATCTGTAGCATTAAGAAGATTCAGTCCTGGCTACATCGGAGTAGCAAAATGAGATTTTTTAGTTAACAAACCAAATGAGATGGGACGAGTAGGAGTTCTAAATTACTGATTCCGTGCTTGAGTTTACCTGTCCTTGTTACTCCTCACTAGAAATTGTTGGTATTGGATACCTCTTTCATGGAATTGGAGTATGGTTAATCTATGTTGGCATGGGCTTCTATAATACAGAAAAAGAGCTATCAACCCAAAACTTGGATTCAGTAAATGGGTGAGAAAACTGTGTATGATTCCTTAAGGACTGAGCAAGTCTTTGTATTTTATGTAGGATGGGAATTCTGGGGAGGATTTCAACAAGGATTCTATTGAGCGCGATGAAAGGCGTCTTACAGAATTGGGTCGCAGGACAGTGGAAATATTTGTCCTTGCCCATATTTTCAGGTGATATATTTGTTAGTTATGTATTCGATTGCTTATATTAAACTTTCACTTTGTCATTATTAGGTATGTGATTGCCACTAAGCATTCCACTTTCTGTTCTGTATACTTATGCAGACTTGATGCCATATTTATGTACATGCATATGTCAATTCCTGTCTATTAAGTTTTCCTGTTAATCCCTTTTCAATGAGGGAGTAACTGAGTATTAAATGTTGGATGGTTGATTCCGTTTGGTTCAATTAGGAATTTAGGAGGGGAGATGGTGAAGGCCTTATATTTATGGTCTGTATTTTCTGGGCAATTGATACAATTCAAGAAACTTGATATATCTTTGCATTTTCCTGTAAATCTGCCTTTAAATCCAACTATGCAACTTTAATTTCACCATCCCTTTAAGCTCATAAATTTTAAAATTGTACAATTAATCATTCAACTCAATTTATGGTATCTGATCAAACCTTGCATCCTTTTGAGATTGGAATTACTGTTTCAATTTCCGCATCTCTTGTGAAGTTGTATTCTAGTATATATGGAAGAATGGATAAATTTGGTCTACTTCTTTGCCTCTTCTTGACTTAAAAATCTAATTATGTATGTCACTTCTATAACACTTTCTATAACTCATCTGTTGCTTCAGTGGGAATGACATCCCAATATTGCATTGTGTTTCTAGTGGCCATGGTTATTCTATTTTAGAATGGTGGCAATGAATGCTGACCAATTTTGAATTAGTGATTAAATAATTTTTTTTGGTCGAGCTAGAAAAGGTACATGTTTTGTAGAGTATGTTGATTACTATTTTAGTCCAGTTAGGTTCATTCTCTCATAGATGGAGAGCCCAATGTTCCAGGATTTACCAGTTGAAAATAATATCCTTTTGTCATATGTGACATGTTTTTTCTCTTTTACATTCAATGTGACATTATATCATTTTGTATACAAACTGAAGGGTAATTCGGTTGGCCATGGTTTTGGATACCATATATGAGCCTTCTTTGAGTAAGATGACGGCTTGATAGCATAATGATGAACATTCTTAGTTGTACGCATTGATGCCTTTATCTTTTGTTACTTTACCTACAGCAACAAGATAGAAGTTGCTTACCAGGAAGCTGTTGCTTTGAAGAGGCAAGAAGAGCGAATCCGTGAAGAAGAAGCTGCATGGCTGGCTGAAAGCGGACAGAAGGGTAAACGTGGAGCATCAGAAAAGAAGAAGAAATCAAAGAAAAAACAAGTGTGATGTTGATCTATTTATACATGTGTCTTTCAGAACTAAGATCTAAATGAGAACCATGGTTAGTTGGGCTAGATGAGCAGGATGATAACAAACAAAAGATGATTTTATATTTTCACTATTCTAATTTTTCCATGTTATTGTACTTAAAAAAAAATAAAATTTGCTTCAGGTAAGTTGTCTCATGTCCTAGCCTATTTTTGTTTGTCTTTTTTCAGGTGAAGACATGTCGTGTCATTAGTCTATAATTGCTACCATTCGTTTCTTTCTTTTTCTTCCTTTCCTACGAT